GCATTATTGGGAAAGTAGTGGGTGTGGGTGTGTGATGTTTTTAAGAGTAATGCTTTTCAAATAGTTTTGATTTGGGTTTGAGATATGACTTTTAAATTTAGTTTGACTTACGTGCTGCGCTACTAGTGGAGTTTTTAATATTAATACTGCGATTTTGTCATCAGTAAAAATATTTTGTAAATCGCGGTGTATTAGTATTAGTAATCTTGTATAACGAAATATTTTTGGAATTGAGCAACTATTTCGTCAAAAATAGCGAATGACTAAACCCTTGACAAAAACTAAACCATTGACGAAAATCAAAATCATTGAAGCCGTTGGCAAAAAAAACAATTAAAAGTAAAAACCAAATCTAATTTTTATTAATATGTAATTTTAATGTTATCAACTAACACTTATTTAGATTTTTGTCTTTTATTTTTTACTACTTCATTATCAACATTTCTTTTATGTTGTTTTAATATAAGCTTTGACTTTCTTTTTTTGTTGATATATTGGTCAAATTGCAATTATCATTATTTAGGTTAACATTATTTTCAATTTCCACGTCATTATTCCTATCTTCTAAATTACAATCTTCACTTTCTAAGCAATGATTAACTCTGATCATTATTTTCAATCTGTAAGCTCCCACTTTCATCCATTTATAAACACCAGATATTTCTATATCAAGAAATATCCCAGATAAAACACTCTTGGATGATGGTTGATATGCAGGATGGAGTTGTTGAAGAAAATCTATAACGTATGGATTACTGACAACTGGAAAAGAAATTATACGGTAAACAAATGCTTGATTAATGCCTGTTTAATAGAATCATTGCATTCTTTTGTCAACAAATTGGTTGTTGAGTTAATGATAATTCTAAAATTTCATATTATTATCATTGTTTATCTGCCTTAGACATTCTCTTCTAATTTTACTAGGACAATGGTTTGCCAGTTTTGTGGTTGTCCATGATTGCATTGTGCAGAGTAATGTCCTTTAGATTTTTTCTTGTTTTTAGCAAAATGGATCCACACATTTTAAGAAGATCCACCAAATTGTTTATTTTGTGGATCTGACATTTTTTAAAACTAATTCTTCTTGACTTAAGCAATATTATCTCACAAACCTACTACTGGATGTAAAAAGAAGGCGGAAGTTGTTAGCACAGTGATTGTAATTTGAATGGTTTATGGTTGTTATTATAATAGTTTACTATTATATTATTACAGTTGCTTTTTTAAATTTAATTCAAAATAATTTTACTCAAAATATTTATTCT